TTGTTGTTTGACTGGCCCTGGCTGGGTTTCAACTCACCAGCTCCAGTGTATGTGGCTGGTGCACTAGCCACTGACCTACAGGCGCCGAGCCTGATTATTATAGACTATCCAGTTATTTCTCATTTTTTAGCCACTAATTATGTGGTCATTTTTATGTCGCTGTTTTTAAATTAAAACAATATTATCAAATTTTAATGCGTATCTCAACAAATAAAAATTAAGCAAATTCAAGGTAGAAAAATAATAGCTTTAAAATTTTATTTACCCTTTTTTACATTTAAAAAATCTTATTTTGATAAGTTTTAAGTATAAAAAAGTAGAAGACTAATGAATCCTCACAGATCCATTGCCTATTTCAGGAGTTATCAAACTGTAGCCAATCTTTGTCTTTTTTTGTTGTTGTTGTTAGAGATAGTCTCATTTTGTCATCCTCAGTAGAGAGCTGTGGTGTCACAGCTCAGAGCAACCTCCGGCTCTTGGGCTTAGGTGATTCTCCTGTCTCAGCCTCCCAAGTTGCTGGGACTACAGGCACCTGCCACAATGCCTGGCTATTTTTCTGTTGCAGTTTGGTCAGGGCTGGGTTCAAACCTGCCATCCTCGGTGTATGGGGCGGCACCCTACTCACTGAGCCACAGGTACCACCCCTTACTTTGTTTTTACCTCCTGATAATTTTGTAGTCAATAGTAGGTATCTATTTTTTTCATATTATTTTGAAATTTTGTTAAAAGACAAAGATCATTTTAAAATATAACTGCAACATAATTATTATAACTAAAAATAAAGATTAGTGGCTCAGTGCCTGTGGCTCAACTGGCTAAGGCCCCAGCCACGTACACCTAGGGTGGCGGGTTCAAATCCAGCCCAGGCCCACCAAACAACGACAGCTGCAACCAAAAAATAGCCGGGCGTTGTGGCGGGTGCCTGTGATCTCAGCTACCTGGGAAGCTGAGGCAAAAGACGCGCTTGAGCCCAGGAGTTGGAGGTTGCTGTGAGCTATGATGCCACAGCACTCTACCCAGGGGGACCCAGCTTGAGGCTCTGTCTCAGATAAATAAATAAATAAAGATTAGGACCAGTTTCTTAGTTATAAGTTTCTATAGTCAGATTTTTGTCTTAAGTGTCTCATGCTTTTTTTCTTTCAGTTTTAGTTTGGTTTGGTTTGGTTTGGTTTGGTTTTCAAGGCAGTCTCACTCTGTTGCCCAGGCTAGAGTGCTATGGCCTCAGCCTGGGTCATAGCAACCTCAAACTCCTAAGCTCAAGCAATTCTCTTGTCTCAGCCTCCCTATCCTCTTATCTCAGCCTCCCAGAGTAGCTGGGACTATGGGTATGCAGAAGCAAAGTCTTACTCAGGGGTCCTCAAACTTTTTAAACAGGGGGCCAGTTCACTGTCCCTCAGACCGTTGGAGGGCCGGATTGCAGGCCCTAGGACGAGTCGGCTGCTAAGCAGGACAGGCAAAAACACCTGGCGGGCTGTAGTTTGAGCTAGTCTTAAACTCAGGAACTCAAGAGATCTTTCTGCCTTTGCCTCCCAGAGTGCTCGGATTACAGACATGAGCCACCATGCCTGGCCCAGTTTTTAATTTTTTGTCTAATCTTTGTTATTGTGTTAAAATGCACATAACATAAAATTTACCATCTTAAATATTTTGAAGTGTATAGTTCAGTGAAATTAAATGTACCGATAACATTGTACAGTCATCACTACCATCATCTTAAGTTTTCATCTTATAAAGCTGAGATTTAATACCCATTAAGTGTATATCTCATTGGTTTATTATACTAAGTCCTTTGTTTCCTTCTGTTGGCTTATTCTATCCATTTTTGAGAGTATAGTATTAAAGTATCTAATACTATTATATAACTATTTCTCTTAATTATCAGTTTTTGTTCCATATATTTTTTGTGATCTGTTAATGTAAATTAACAACAAATATCTTTAGTTGTTATCTTGCTATATTGAACCTTTTAATAATAAATAGTTCTTTTTTGTCTCCTGTAACTTTTTGATTTACAGTATATTTTGTCTATTATTCATCTAGCCACACTTAATTTCTTTTGGTTATGACTTGTATGGAATCTCATTTTCTGTCCTTTCACTTTCAATCTGTTTGTGTCCTTGGATCTATAGTGAGCCTTTTTGGCCAG